ACATACCCTGCATTTCCTTTTGTCCTCCTTCTCCCAATATCTACCGCCTCTCATTTCCACCCCTAATCTAAATCTCGCTACCCTTTGCCATCTTTCTTCCTTCCAACCCTTCTTCAAGTAGCCCGGTATTCCTTTGCCCTTTATCCTTTTATACCATTCATTCGTTCTCGACTCCTTTATTTTGTCCCATCTTTCTTTTTCCTGCAATCTCTTCTCTCTCCCTACCACCTCCTCCCCCCTTAGCTCTCCTTCCTCCCTCATCCTCTCTATCTCCTCTATTTCCCACCCTTTTTTCCTATAAAACTCTTTCCTCTCCCTTTCCCATTCTCCTACCACTTCTCCTTTCTTTGCCCTTTCTCTCATCTCCTTCCAGCACCATCTCGCCATCTCCCCTCCTCCTCCCTCCCCTAACTTCCTCTCATACCCCCAAGCCCTCATCCCCGCCCTCCCTCTCATTTTTTCCCTCATCAATTCCTCTCTTACCATATATCCCGGCGCCCTCCATCCCACTCCCATTAACCATCTCAGATATCTGTCCTGCATCCTCTCTACTTCTTCCCTTTCCTTCCACCCCCATATTTCCACACCGTATCCCATCACTGTCCATACCAATCTATCAAATAGCCATATCCTTCTCGCCCAATCCTTTCCAAATCTTCTCTTTCCAATCCCCCATACTTCTCTCATCACCACCGCTCCCTTCCTTATCCTTTCTTTTATATGTTCCTTTTGTCCTCCATTCGCCATCACTACATATCCCAGATATCTAAACTTTCTCACCTCTTCTATCTCCCTTCCCTTCCATAACCACTTGACCTTCTTCCACCTCCCCCCTCCTTTCCTACATCTCATCACCTTCGTTTTCTCTATATTGACCTCCAATCCCTTCTCCTCCATGTATTTTTCTAACACTTTTATCATCCCTTTCAGACCCCCCTCATTTTCCGCCACCACCGCCACATCATCTGCATATGCCAACGACCATATCTTCTTTTTTTCTATTCTTATCCCCCCCACCCCTCCTTTTCTAACTCCTCATCCAAGTCTGCCAGCAACAGTGTGAACAAACACGGGCTCAGCGGGCAACCCTGCCTCACCCCCCTTCCTGTCCAGAACCTACCCCCCTCCTTCTCTTCTACCCTTACCCTACCCATTGTTTCTCTCAATATTTCTTCGCACCTCTCTACCAGCCCTTCTCTTACTCCCCTCCTCCTCATACACCCCACCAGAATCTCCCTATCCACCGAATCGAATGCCGCTTTTAAATCCAGAAA